CGGTACACCCTTTTTGTTTTGCAAGTTACACATGATTCTGCCCCATTATCCATCCTAAGTATGAACTCGTACCATCCGGGCCAAGCCGGGTTCGACCCCTTCACACCCACCTTCTTCTGCAACAAATGCTATGCGCGTGCACTGGTTTATCAAAGGTTATAAGTTTCCAAAAACTCTTTGCAACAAAATATACGAAGTGCTCACACGCGCGTCGTCGCGCGCCCATGCCGAAATCTTTCAAAAACCATGGGTTTCGTAGGGGTTTCACAATCGAGTGTCCAAACAACATATAACAACATACGGTTTCGCAACACGGATTTTCAGAAACATTGGCGCGTGCGCTCGTGCGAATTCTAAACAAAACCATCGGTGTTTCAAAATACTACCAAACGGGCATCGCGCGCGCATGTCGGCATCGTTCGAACGCCTTTGCGCGCGTGCCGTCGCGAGAATCTGTTGCAAACGTGGGACGAAATGCGCGCGCGCGAGTCGTCGCGCGCGCATGCCGGAATCCTTCAGCAACTTGCGATCCCGTAGCGATTTCAAAACGGAATTTCCAAACAAGCAAGTACAAAACCACATGGTTTCGCCACATCAGATTTCAAAAAAGCTTGCGCGCGCGCAGTTGCGAATTCCCAAGGAAACCCGGCTTTTCAATATTTTCATGGGATCTTGCCAAACGGGCATTTCTCGCCGCATATCGACATCATTCGCACCCCCTTGCGCGCGTGCTGGGGGGCACGATCCGTGTCAGATAATACCATTTGGGCTACTCTCGCGCGTCGGCCGCGCGCGCATGTCGAACTTTTTCCAACACCTGCATCGCCGACGCGAGGACGTCGTCATCGTCGTCGGCGTGATCAGCATCGGCGCCCGCAGTGACCCCGCCTTCGTCACCAGCATCGCTACTACCATCATCGTCCGCTGGGATGCGCCCAGCGGTCAGCGCCACCGCGACCGCGTCGGTGGCGCCAAACTAGCTGGCCGTTGCGCGTGGTTGCTTGGGTTGGCGCGGCCACAGAGATACACCAGCCAACGCGAAGGATGCATCGCAATCGTCACCGCGTGGGTTTTGCAAACCAAGTTGCGGGTGGGTGGGTGGGATGTTTGCAAGAACATGGGATGTGTCAATTCCTTTGTTTCAAACAGTCGCATCACATGGGTTGCGCCACACATGTTGCTCCAAATGTATTGCACAGCGTGTATTGCTAGAAGCCTATTGTTTGGGGTCCACGCTGGCTAACATATGTTTTCGACGAGCTCTACCTTGAAATGCTTCGGATACCGCTGGTCGTGGGAGGATTTTGTCACGCGCCGTGGCGGCGCGCGCGCGCGCGTGTGGCCTGTATAGTGTTACTTGATATTGTTTCGCGCACTGGCCGTATGCTGGATCAACGCAAATGCAAAGCGTGGAGAGCTGAAAATGCGGGTTCTGGGCGAGATTGCTGACATCCTTTTCTCTGTCGTATAGTTTCAGAAGTTGCGCGCTGGCCGACAATCTTCATCGTGCAACCAACATGAATGTTGATGCTATTGTGTTGAACTGATTGCGGGCATAGTGTGTTTATAATGCGTTTGGCATGTGTGCGCGTGTCGTTTTTTTTTTTTTTTTTTTTTTTTTTTTTTTTTTTTTTTTTTTTTTTTTTTTTTTTTTTTTTTTTATTTTTTAAATATTTTTGGTTGGGGGGGTGTTGTTTTGTGCAGAGGGTTCTTGAAACATGATCTATCGAGAGGTGAACGAGTATGCGCGCAAACTTTGACATGGATCAGGGGGTGGGCGGGCGATACTGGTCGGGCCGGGATGGTACGAGTTCGCATGGAGAATGAACGTTGCTGCCAAACCATTCGGCCAGTTAAGTCCTGGCTCGGGAGGGGGGGGGGATCCCAAGGAGAATGCATGTGGTGCAAGCTTTGTGGTTTAGGTCGTGGGGTGACAGCTGTTCGGTGTTAGCTATGTGTTGTAGGCGATGTGGTGAGCGCAGTGCGGCAACGGCTGTGTGGTGCAGGCTGTGTGGTGCAAGCTGCGGGGCCCTCCGGCGCACGAGGCGCCCGCGAGGCGCTCACGGGCGGGCGCCGGGCGGAACGTTGGCATACCCGTGCAGCGCGGGCGCCATCGAGGCGCCCACGGGCGCCGAACACTCGGCACCTCCGTACAGTTACATGGCGTAAGAAAGAAACGTAGCAGCACCTAGTTGCAGGCACTGTTTTGGGAAGAAGGGGCCGCTCTCCATCCGGGTAGCTGTTAGCTACAGCGCGCACACGGATGTGTTGGTTGAGCCGCCATTCGGAGAGCTCGGGTGAGAAGCCCGGTTCACAACCGTGCAGCACCATTTACGGCCATCAATTTGGAAGAGCATGCGAGGGTGCTCCAGTAGGAACACATTGCCGCTTCTCATCCTTGGCACTGTTGACGCTTTGAGGCTGGATGTGCGCGGCTGGTAGGCGAGAGCCACATTTGGAAATCTACCCTTGCTCCTCGCCACCACACCTCTGCGTCACTCCTCAACCCTGCTCTTCATCCTCGTCTTCGTTGTCGTCCTGATCGTCATGCTCGCTATCTGCCATGCTGCTTATTTTGATGCGGTGGGGACATTGCAGCAGATACATGGTGACGTATCTAAGCGTATGCTTCCTATTGCCAGGTGGTTTTGTTTCCCAGCGATGGGCGCCGCATCGAAGGGCATCTATCCATGCCGATTGATATCCGATCGTATCTAATCATATGGCCGTATATGAACGTAAGGAATCACACCGCCTGTAGCTAAACATGTTGTGAAGGCCATACGGCTGGTGCCGCCGACCCTGAAGACGACGACGACGAGGATGACGTGGAGGAAGAGGGGGAGGAGGAGCAGGAGAAGGAGGAGGAGTAGGAGGCGGATGACGCGGTGGAGCAGAAGATGGTGGATGCAGAGAAGGATGGGGAGGGGGAGCAGGGGCAGGGGGAAGACGGGGTGGGGGAAAGAGCAGTAGGAGGACCCCTGGTGCTGGAAGCCCTGGTACTTTGATCTGGAAGGTTGGAGGTCGAGTTCTCGGCGTGAACTGGGTAGCTAGCATTCTCTGGCGGGTGGACTGTAGCGCGAGACGTGTTGGTAGGGGCACGGACGTACGTGGGTCCGTGCGAGTGGAAATTTGAGGGGAGAGGTTCGAGAAACCTGGGATCTCAGCCCTGCCATCGTCCCGCTCCCTCCTGATCCCTCCGCCCGTCCTCCTCTCTGCTGCTTGCCTTTCTATCCCCCTCCCGTCCTACCGACTTCTGGCACCGTCCTTCTCTGTTCTCGGTGATCGGGGACTCGTTATTCTGCTCTGAGCGAACCCTCCGCGGGTGCAGAAGGCGGCGACGACGACGACGCTGACGTGGGTCAGAGTTCTAGGGATGCTTGTCGGGGTCTCTTCGAAGCGCTTTCGGGGGCCTCTGGTGGGCTGGGCAGTTTGAGGGCGTTCGGGGAGACTCCTGGGGTGCCTCTTGGGAGCCTCTTGGGGGCCTCCAGGGGCTTCCTGGGGTCCTCTTAGGGGCGTCTTGGAGGCCTCTTGGGGCCTCCTGAGAGCTTCTAGGGGCGAGGGCTCGAGATGCCCGTTCAGGTCCCCCGTCTGGGCACCCTCTTGGAGCCGTCTTGGGTGCCTTCTGGCCTGTCTTGGAGGCGTCTCGGGCCGTCGTGGGGGCCCTCTTGGGCCGTTTCGGGAACGTCTTGGAGGACTTTGGGCCGTCTTGGGGCGATGTTGGGGGCCTCTTTGGCCGTCTTGGCGCGTCTTGAAGCGGAAGGAGCGAGAACGCCAAAATCCTTCAAAAACGAGGGGTAATTTATGAGTTGCTTCTCGGGGCCTTCTTCGGAGTGCTCTTGGAGGCCTCTTGGGGCGTCTTGCAGGCCTCATGGGCCGTCCGGAGGCCGTGAAGGCGTCTTTGACATATTGTTCGGCGATTCGGAACCCTCTTGGACCCTCTTGGGGGCCTCTTCGGGCACTCTTGGCCCGTCCTGGCGATTTTTTGGGATCTCGGACGGCCCCCCGGGGGGGAGGCTTCCTCCCCCCCCCCGGGGACCCCCCTCCGGGACCCCCCCCGACGGGGGAGGGATCAAAGGAAAGGAGCTTCTGAATTACGACGTTGCTCAACTTCGCTTTGGCTGACGCCCTTGAGGAGGACGGCCCAGGCAAAGGGGGGGAGCGGCGTCGGGCCCAGGGAAATGGGCGCTGCATGGAAAGGGGACGACAGAGACGACGACTAACGGATGATGGAGACGACAACTCGAACGGACAAGCCCCTCACACGCGCCGACAGGGTCGGCGGACTTCAGAAGTGAGTGTTCGTATCCAGACATGTAAAACAGCTGGACCATTTTTCGTGTGCACGAACATTGTAAAGACACGCGATCAATCTATGTAGTCTAGAAGCCTTTTGGTCCTTCAAAGTGCAGCCACCGCGGAGGAGATGCGTATCGAAAGCAAACTTTTCAAACGTATGTCTTCCTGGGTGGGCGAGAAAGTCTCTGGCGACACGCCCTGTCCGCCCTGCCGACGCGTCGGGTGGTGCGACGAGGAGTTGCTCAGAAGCGAGAGGGATAGGAGGGGCCAGGGGATAGTGCAGATGATGAAGAATCATATGATGATGACGACGACGATGATGATGATGATGATGGTGGTGGTGGTGGTGGTGGTGATGATGATGACGATGACGATGATGATGACGATCATGATGACCAGAGGAGGAACGGTACCCATACCGCTACCCTTTCCTCGTTTTCCTCTCCTGGGAGGCCCTCGTCGTCACTGCTGGATTCGCTTTACCATTTCGGTCAGAGTGCACCTCGGGAGAGGTCCGGGGATCAGCGGTATCGGTACTTTTTGGTTTCCCCACTGATGATGGTGATGTGATGATGAGGAGGAGGAGGCGGAGGAGGAGGAGGAGGATGAGGAGAGAGGGTGGCTCAGAGTGCCTCCTCTCGGTCCTCTCCTCCTCGGGCCGACCCCCGATCCGTCGGCCACCCCTGCCTGGCACTGGCACCCAAGGGCCCCCCCCAGTGCCGGCGGCGGCGCGCGCGCCCGGCACGCCCCTCCCCGCACCCCCACGAGGCGGGGCCCCGCCGGCGGTTCCCGCTCTTACTTTGCCTCCCTGCTTCTCAGTGGTCGAGCAGCTGATTAAGAATGATGGACCTTTTTTCCACCACCACCATAAGTTGGATGGGGGGAAGGAGGAGGAGGAGGAGGAGGAGGACGAGGAGGAGGAGGAGGACGAAGAGGATGAGAAGGAGGAGGAGGAGGAGGAGGAAGAGGGGGAGGAGGAGGAGGAGGAGGACCCCCTCCGCCTCCAACTTTGGTGGTGGTGGTGGTGGTGGTGGAAAGCAGGCTCATCAAAGAAGCCTCCCGAAGGGCTGGGCCAGCGTCTCTTAGCCAACTTGCCGGAAGGCTGGCCCAGTTCCATGAGCATGTTCGCCCCTCCAGCGTCAACAACAGAGATTGGACCAGGGGTGTTTTCAAAAGCCGAAGGGAAGCTGGCCCAGGTTTCTTAAACGATCGTCTTCTTGATCACATTTTCGGCAGTCGGCCTCCCAGAAGGGGTCAGAGCACATGGAGTCAGAGGTTCGCGCCGCACCGCCGATGCATCGGCGATGTGTTGGCGATGTGGCGCGATCCTCCGACCCCATCCACTCGGACTCCATTCGCGAGGCCTTTATAAGGGAACGAATAATGACATAGACATAAAAACTCGGATGTCCGCGCGGATTTCTCGGGTCGGCGCTGGACCCCCTTCCATGGCGCGCGGAGCGCGCCAGGGGCGGCGCCACAGGCGCCGCCGGGGGGCCCCAGTGCTGATCTGAGGACTCCGCGCGGCCACCCCGTGCAGGGGCGAGGACGGCGAGGACGGCGAGGGCAAGGAGAGGGCGACGACGAGGACGAGCACGACGGCAACGGCAGCGACGGCGACCCCCACGGTGAGGAGAGCGCAGACGTCGACGAAGAGGCGGAGGACGGCGGCGAAGACGAGGAAGACGAGGAGGACGAGGAGGACGAGGAGGACGAGGAGGAGGACGAGGGCGAGGACGAGGAGGCCATCGAGTCTCCCTGGTCTCGTGGCCTCGTCTTCTCTCAGCGCATCCCCTGGCCCCCCCCCCTCGTCCGCGCACGTGCCTCAGGAGGGGAACAACAACACAGACACAAATTAGTAAGCGTCGACCCCCAGGAGAATGTTGGAACATATGGGAAGTGGTGGGGAGGACGAACACCCAGAACATCTGGGAACATAGGGGGGAATATCCTGTCATGTGTGTGTCTATCTGTTTGTGCGTCCCAGGGCCCCCTCAGTGCCTCGGGCCACGATGCGCGCCCCGCCGCCCTTCTGGTCCCCCCTCCCGGGCACGTCCGACCGACGTCTGTCGCCTTGGGGAGCCCAGGGCCCTCACGAGCTGGAGGCATCCACGCCGAAGCTTTTTGCGGTTTCGGCCTCCGGGGGCCTTCGCGCGGCCCTGGTGCCGTCAGGAGACGGCTCGGGGCGAAAAGCCTGTCCCTGGGAAAGGGTCGCGCTTCCCGAGGACTTGCAGGAAGACCCAGGCATCGGACGGACTGATGCTTTCAATCGCTGCGATTATCATCAGTTACTCCTCCTTGGGGCCGGGGGCCATCGAGCATGGATCAGGGGCTGTTCCCGGGGAGGCGGTCGGGAGTTCTGGGGCTGCGGACTGACATGAAAGCATCGTCAGATCTCTTGGAGGGCTGCTATCGGCTACGCGTAAGAGTGACCCTTCGCTGGTGCGGGCCCACCGGGGTCCCACGGTCGCTGCACGAGACGCGACAGCAGCGGCTTGCGCTCCTCGGCTTACCCCCCCGCTGACAGCCGCCAACGCACCAGAAGTCATCCTTGCCCAGGGTCGCTCTTGCGTACAGCCGATGCTGTCTGTCGCCTCGAGGAGAAAGGGGCGCCCCCTTGCAAATTGCCAGTCGGAACGGTGGCGGAAGTAGACGGATGAGAGTGAGGCTTTCAGAGCGCGCCTGCGAGCGCCCGTGTTCCGCCGTGGCCGTTTGCCAGCGGCTCTGCCAGTAGATGCGCGCCTCGGAGTGCCTATGCTCGCCATGTTGCGAGTCGACCAGCGCCGCTTGGCCGCGCGCTGTGCAAGCGGGCGCTGGGCCGGTTGAAGCCCAGACCCTGGTGACACAGTTTCTTGCCTGGGGGAACAACGCCGCATTGACGATCTTAGAGGCTCCTACGGGTGACATGTAAATCACGTGCCAGAGCGAAACACGTCAGAGCACCACCACCACTTGCTGCTCGCTACTGCCAGCCCTCGGTAGAGAGCTATCCTCTGTGACTGGACCGTTTGCCTCCCCCTTGCCACCCCGAGGAAAGGGATGAGGAGGAAGAGGGTGAGGATGAGGAAAAAGATGATGCTGATGCTGATGCTGATGCTGATGCTGATGCTGATGCTGATGCTGATGCTGATGCTGCTGCGGATGCTGATGCTGCTGATGATGCTGCTGCTGATGATGATGATGATGGTGATGATGACGGTGGTGATGATGATGCTGATGTTGCTGCTGACGGGGATGATTCTGCTGATGACGATGATGCTGCTGATGCAGAGGATGCTGATGATGATGCTGATTACGATGCGGCTGATGTTGATACTATTGATGCTGATGATGATGATTATGATGATGCTGGTGATGGTGTTTTTTTGCTGCAAGAACGATGCCTGGCGGTCCCCGCCCCAGCTCGCCACAAGAGAAAGAGGATGGGCGGGCACTCCGCCACGGGGTGCCTCCCGCCCCGTCCTGCCTCAGTCCATGAGGCACTCCCAGAAAGCGTCACACTCCTCCTGTACCAGGGAGCGCGGTACCGCTTCGAGGGAGACCTTTACTGCGTAAGGATTCCTGCCTCGGCGCAGGAGCGAGAGGCGGTACCCTGCGGTGGAGTTCGCTGGGGCCCCGACGCAGGCGCCCAGGAGCTTGCACCCCCTCTCGCTCGAAAAGACACCGCACCGATCGCAGAATGTATACTGGCCCACTCGGTGCAGCTCGTGCCCTAGGGCCGCTCCACGGAGGGCGGGAGAAATGTCTCCTTCCCCATCCCCCCGCCCCAGCCCGACTCCCCAACGACGATCCACCCTCATCTTACCCAGGCAGGGTCTACGCGCCAACGCGCGCTTGGTCTTGCTGGAGAAAGCTTTGCGGCCACACGTCGAGCAACGCCACGCCCCCCTCCTCCAGAGGAGGACGTGAGCTCGGGCCCCCTCGGGCGGTCCTTGCCGCCTTCGGCGGGCCCCGCTGGAGCCCGCGGCAGGCCTCCCCGTGGAATCCCCGAAGTCCGCAGTCAACCCCGTCACCCCCGCCACCAGAGTCAACACTGCCTGGACCTCCGCCGAGCGGGTGGTCCAGGTCTGGGCCTTCCACGGGGGGACCTCCTGCATGTCGGCCCCTAGGCGGGCCTCATTATCTGCCAATTGGTTCCCTTGAAAATCGAGAAAACTTTCGTGCGAGTCATCCTTCGGCCCGCGCGCATGTGCCTTTACTTTCACGGCCTGGAAGTCGCCTTCTTGGCTGAAACTATCCTGGAGCTGGGCCTAAATCCTGCCCCAGAGGTCGGCGTGCGGCCTCCGAGGGCTGCAGCACCAACGGGGTCCTCTACGGAGGCCTCGAATGACGGAACTGTTGTCGATCCCTACCCTCAGCGGAGGGTGGGCGCTATACAGCAACTTGAGCAATCCATACAATTCAGCACGGAGGACGGAGGCGAGGATACGCAGCCCTGGGAGGGTACCCCGCATGGCCTTGACAGCCCCCCCCGTCCTGGTCCAGGAAAACGAAGCCCCAACCAAAGCTCTTGAGCCCTGGTGGGCCTCTGGCCGATCCGTCAGAGTAGGCCCACCCTGAGACCAGCGGGGGATTCACAAAATCGGGGTTTTCATCCTCCAGGTCAGTAATCCAATCAGACTGCGGGTCCTCCAGGGGGTGCTCGTGAAGCCCACGGGAGAAGAGGAGGGAATCCGAGGAGGAGGAGTCAGCACGATGCACGATCCCTTGGAGGCCCTCAGCCTCTGCGACGGTGGCTCTCGCCGCTCCTCGGTCTGGGCAGCAACAGAAACGATGGTGCTGACATCCGACTTCTGCGCCACAGGCTTGGCAGGACCTGTCGTCCCCGAAGCCCGCGCGCCAGACCTTTTCCTGGGTCCAGAAATCCCGGCCTATGTAGGCCAGGATAGCCGATCGCCTCTGCGATCGGTTAGCCTTTCGCCGAAGGAGAGCCCGAATAGGCTCGAGGAAAGGACGGGTGATCCCGAGGTCCCTGGAGGCCGCCCAGGAGGTCATAACCGCAAATTCCAAACGGGTCCAAATCAGCTTCTTGAGACACTGCGGTGCCGTCCTGCGCAGCTCCCAGTGCCGCCCGAGATGGTCGGAGAAAACGTGAGGGGCGGGCCACTTCCACGAGAGGAGATGGAGTGTGGCCCAGACGGCTGAGGCAGGTCCTTTTATCTGTCTCCAGGGGTTGCTCCCAGGCTTGGCGGCAGCAGCCGCGGCAACAGCTCTACGCCACCCCGCAGCCATGATCTCCTCATGGCTGCCAGCAAAGATCGCCTCCGCCCATTTGAGCAGTGGCTTCGTGCAAGCGTCGACCAGGGGGTCGCAGCGAAGCGTCCACAGGCGCAGCAGTCGGTCCTTACCGATTGCGTTCCCGCCCAGCGCTGAAGCCATGAGAGCCCTCGCTCGGGTGAGCCGAGTCGGGTCCATTGCGAGGCAGACCGCCCCATACAGCACAGAGGGGAGAAATCCCATACGCGCAACTTGAAAAGTGCGCGCGCCCTGCTTGCCGAGACTCGACAACTTACTTCTGCGTCGCCGAGCGCTCCCCATCCTGGCATCGGCCCTGGCGCGCAGCGACGCAACTCCTCCTCCCGCCGAATCAACTCCAAGCTGCGTACTGTTGGCCTGGACCTCCAGTCCCAGGCTGTGGGCCCAGCCTTTGATGCGGGCCCGCAGGGAGCGCTGCGCTGTCATGATGAACCCCTTGCCCTTCGGCTTGTCTGGTCGGGCCCTGGAGACGGGGATCCCACGGGCCTCCATTTCATCAATATACTGGGTCG